TTTTATTGACGATGTTTCAAGAGACGCCGTCATCGCTTCCTCCGCGGAAAGTCGCGGGAAGACTATGGCGGACTTGGGATTTCTTGCCCAGGGCGTCCTGACGGACGGAGCACCGCCCCACATTGCTGCCATCGGCGTCCTCTGCATTTGCTGTTAGCCCACACGTTACTGCACACGCTCCCCCCTCCCCCTCACTATTCTTTTTGCTTGCTTTGCTTAAAATTGCAAATAAGAAAGAAACAGCTACCTGTTCTTACTCCTTCCTTGTAACTCTGTTCTGTTTTTCTTGCCAGCCTCATGGCGCCGCTGCCGACTTATCCCACATTTTGTTGTTATCTTCCACTCGTTGCCGCACATGCGATGAAAAGCAAAGCGACCACTGCAACACACGAAAACAAAGAAGTTACTTCTTTTTTTTTCCACTAAACAACCACGACAAACTACACTCTGCCAATGTTCCGCGCCACGTTCACTGCCCTGAAGACGCTGCAGCCGCTTGGCTCGCGTGTTTTGGTGAGACGCACACTGGCGGCGAAGCAAACGAAGGCTGGCGTGCTCATCCCCGAGCAGGTGGCCGGCAAGGTGAACGAGGGCACTGTGGTTGCCGTCGCCGCCGCAACGAAGGACTGGACTCCCACGGTGAAGGTGAACGACACGGTGCTGCTTCCCGAGTTTGGTGGCAGCAGTGTGAAGGTGGAGGGTGAGGAGTTCTTCCTCTACAACGAGGACTCCCTGCTCGGTGTGCTGCAGGGATAAGCTGCACTGTGCGTGACTTCTCCACAGAGGCCAAGGAGCTATGCGATGGAAGATTCATGATTAGTATATTTATTGATTTTTTTTTGTTTTTTGATTCTATTGTTTGTGAACGTGCGACGGAGGATTTCGTCCAGAAGGGTTTGCCATTGCTGAGCATGCCAGTACATGCTTGACGAATGCTTGTCCTAAGGAATCCTTGGTGCTTGCCTCGTTCACGTTTTTTTTTTTGGGTTTATTGAGTCGGTGCTCTTTTGTGCATGTGTGTGCGTCTGTTTACTGTTGCAGTCGCCTGGATGTATTTTTGTGCTGGTTGCCTTGTTGATTTTACTCTGTTTTTTTTTTTCTTTCTTGTTGTCTTATTTCAAACCTTTTGCAGCCCATAGAATGAGGGGTGTATGTGGCAGTTCGGTATTGGGTTGCAGCGAAGGTGATGATTCCCGCCTGGTCAACTTCTACTGCGTCCCCCTGGTGACGGATGCGCCGGTTGCATTTGACGGGGTATCTGTGGCTGTTCAGCACCAGCGCACAGCGGGCTTTAACGGGGACGGGACAGACAACCCCCCGGTGTTGTGTGCTTTTTTTAGAGGGACGCTGGACGACGAAGTGGGGATGGCGGACTGGGAGGAGAATCCACCGCAGCCTTTGTGCGTGGGGGATTGGGTGTCTAACGTCAGCCCCACCGACGACAGAAACGACGATGCCTCAAGGACGACGCACACCTCCGGACGACGTTCGCTGCAGGAGCCAGTCGTGTTTCCCCACATTCCTCGATGGCCCAACGTTACAGCGCGGCGGCGGGAGATGCATACACACTCCTCTTCCCCTCTTTTTTCCTCTTGTGATGTCAAAGCTTTTGTGTCTAGGCCATCAGGGTGCAAGAATATCTTAAGCCGACCGTTGACGCACTTTGCCTACATGCCGTTGAAGACAAGAGAGAGTGACTCTCCCGTTTCTTCATGCGTGGGATGCACAGAACCATTGGAGAGAATACGGTCTGAGGCTGCCTCTTTGGGGGAGTCTCTACGAAAGTCACGTTCGCACGTATATGGTATACTGCCGATGCCGCACGAAAAGAGGAAAGTGGAGCTTCCTGAGAGAACGGTGTCGCTCGCAAACGAGGAGGCAACAGCCGTCAGTCTTATGAGAGAGTCCAACATGGGGGTGCCTCCTGCTTTCAGGTCAGACAAAGCCTCAACACTGACGTTTGTGGGCTCTTCTCTTGACTGCAGGCTGTACGGGGAGACACGGGACGAGAACCGCGGATCGGCTCTGCCTTTGCGGGGTCAACGATTGCGGGATGCGTGGAGACACGATCCGACACTCCCGGAACACCTCCACCGCGTTGCCGACATTGAGGGAGCAGGGTCTGTGCGCCTGTCGCGACTTATTATCGTACTTTGTTTGCGTCATTATTTGGACTGGTCTGAGGAGGAGGTGAAGCGAACGGTGGCTGGGCTTGCGAACTACCTGCGTGAGACGCCTGACGTGGGTGAAGTGACGCTACCGACGACGAACTCCAGAACACTCACTGTAATCAGGGAGGAGGACGGCACGTTTTACTTAAATGCGGGCGCCTTCCTTTTACTGATGCAAGCCCTGCTTCTGCTATAGCTGGAATGGGTCTGTACATATTCTTGAATGTATACTCACACACATATGGATGAGATGTGCAAAGTACAATTGAATGAACTTATGGATCGTCATTAGCTGTTTTTGTGTTTATCTGTTTCTTTATTTCTTTATTATTATTATTATTATTTTTGCTAACCACCCCCAACAATATCATTGAAGCTTCCAAATACTGCGAGTGCACGTACGGTGTTGCTTCCCTGTAACTCTGTTCTGTTTTTCTTGCCAGCCTCATGGCGCCGCTGCCGACTTATCCCACATTTTGTTGTTATCTTCCACTCGTTGCCGCACATGCGATGAAAAGCAAAGCGACCACTGCAACACACGAAAACAAAGAAGTTACTTCTTTTTTTTTCCACTAAACAACCGCGACAAACTACACTCTGCCAATGTTCCGCGCCACGTTCACTGCCCTGAAGACGCTGCAGCCGCTTGGCTCGCGTGTTTTGGTGAGACGCACACTGGCGGCGAAGCAAACGAAGGCCGGCGTGCTCATCCCCGAGCAGGTGGCCGGCAAGGTGAACGAGGGCACTGTGGTTGCCGTCGCCGCCGCAACGAAGGACTGGACTCCCACAGTGAAGGTGAACGACACGGTGCTGCTTCCCGAGTTTGGTGGCAGCAGTGTGAAGGTGGAGGGTGAGGAGTTCTTCCTCTACAACGAGGACTCCCT